CGCCTTGCCCCACCCCATCTTGCAGTCGCGCGCACACTTCCCTCGTGCTGCTGCTGGCCGGCCCTCATCCTTAGACACGACACCTTCCCAGAGTTCCTGCAGCCGCCGTCACCGCCCTACCATCTGCTCGCGACCGCGACCCTTCTGTCCTCCTCTTAGGCGGCCATTGGTAAGCAACGGGATACTGTAGGCGAGCAAAACAGGATGCTGTCCTCCTCTCTTCTCTGGCGGCTGTAGGTGAGGATAGAAACTCCTTCGTTCTCTTTGCTTCTCTTCATTTTCTTGGGCCATCCGAATTGTACTCATTGGCAAGTCAAACGAAGATCTCGTGGCAGTTCGAACAAGATGCTTGTGTCGCTGATTGTGCTAGTCGTCGTCCCCTGCCGGGACACCTTCGGTTCCTGTTATCACCACCAAAACAGAGCACACAAAAGACTCGAGCTGCTAGTTTTCGTACACTTCCTCAAAGCACCTCTCTGCTTCAAAAATATACAGGAACGCTAAGCTATGGCCGCGCTTCTACTGAAATTGTTATGCACAGTGTTCCTATAGCCTCTCACACGTATTCGATTATTTCATTTTGTAGCTTAGATTTTGTAACTTGTTCAAAGTTTATTGTGGGGAGGCTTCACGAATATGCCCCAAAGTAGTGTGTTATAGACCTTGTAACTCCTTTCCCTTTTTATGTTCATGCACTTTCTTCACCTGATTTGATGGAAGGAAGTTCAAAGATTAATGTCTAGAGAGTTCAATCATTGGATGTTGGGAAGAATGCATCTTAATGATGAAAAAATGCATGAAAAAAATTCATTCATCAAAAAGAAGTTGCAATCCCATTTTCGGGAGGTTTAAGAATGTTAAATTCTAAAAACGTACACAAAAATATTGCTGAAAAAACATGGGTGCCGCAAAAATGATACTAAACAAACAAATAATTTGAAGTTCGAATTCGTGGAGTTAGGAAGTTCAATAAATGAAAAAAACAAAGACTAGTCTACCGGTTGCACGGGCCCATGACATGCTCGTAAATATAATTTTTTTATGGTGACAAAATTCCTTTGATTTCCCGTTTCTATGTAGAGAAACAATGAGCAAATAAGACCAAAAAAGTTATTAATGTTGTTTTTCCATGGTTTTCGTGATTTTACCTTTTTATGTAGAGAAACAGTGAGCAAATAAGACTAGTCTGCAGGGTGTTTAGCATACGATTATTATTCACCAATACACCGCTTTTCTCTGGGAGCATAAAAAGAGAGAAGTTCATCTTGGCAACCCAATGTGGTTCAATTTGTATGTTAAAAGAAGATCCTAGAAGTTCAAAATTAAATAACGGTGTGGTTCAATTTTTATTTAGTAAGAAATTATTTCCCTTGAGACTAAATAATCAAGCCACCAAGTTCACATTAAAAATAATGGAGCAGTTCAATATATACAAAAAACTCAAGTCCTTCCCGTTTTCTAGAAAAAGAAAAGTATGAAGTTCAATTTAAAAACTAAAAGTACAAAAGCATTTTCACAGTTTCTAAATAAAAAAACTCTCGTAGTTCAAAGTAAAAAAATGGAGCGGTTCGATGTTTACTAATACTACTAGGATATTTTCCATTACAAAAAAAACAAGAAGTCCAAATTTAAAAAATGGGGAAGTTCGATGTGAAGAAAAAACTTGGATTTTTTTCTCGTTACTAAAGAATAAAATGAAGAGGTTCAAATTAAAATAATGGAACATATCAAAAAGGTTTATAAAAAATGATTTCCCCATTTTCTAAAAATACCCGAGAAGCCCAAATTAAAACAACATCATGACTCGATCTTTACGAAAAACTAAGGGCAAGTTCAAGTAGCACACGAAGTTTATGTATCAGAGTGATGTATTGGTTGTGCATGTAGCACACAAAGTGTATTTGTATTGTTGTGTGTAATTTTCTTGAATTTCAATAGTATGCGAAGTTCACGTTTCAGAAATTCTTAAAGTTCACGTGTACCACATACTGAATAAATTCATCTATGAACAAAAAACGGACTGCCCATGCCATAATAAAAAAGCTCAATGTGCTTTTGAAAAAGAAAAATCAAACTGACATTTGAAAATGTGCAGCAGAAGTTCATGCCAAACTAACAGGGCGATTCAACGTTTATTCTTGAAAAAGTGGAGAAAATTGTACATGCTTTGTAGGTCAAAAGTTTGGCTTTAATTTATGTTTTGCGAAGGTCAAAATGTTGTGTCCGCGAAGGTCAAGTGTGTTATCTCAGCAAGTTCAAAAATAAATTTAAACATGCAAGGTAAAACATGCAAGAAAAAAAAAGAAAGGAAGAAGTTCAATTTGTAAAGAAGACACGGTTCAACGTGTAAACCAATGTTGAAAGAAAACAAAAAGAAAAGGAGAAGTTCAATTTCTAAATATGAAGTGGTTCGACGTGCAAACCAATGTTGAAAGAAAACAAAAAGAAAGGAGAAGTTCAATTTCTAAAGATGACGTGGTTCGACGTGCTAAACAATGTTGAAAGAAAACAAAAAGAAAAGGAGAAATTCAATTTCTAAAGATGACGTGCTTTGACGTGCAAACCAATGTAAAAACACACACAAAAATGTTGTTTTGGTGTCTTAAAATATTTTTATTCATAAAAAAGATTAAGAAAAAAACCAGGAAATCAATATTAAAAAGATGGAGAACTTCGATGATTATAGAAAACTCAAATTTCCCTCGTTATGAAACAATGGAAGCAAGATGTTCAAAAATAAAATAACAAGAATTTCAACTTTTAAAAATGGAGCGCTTCAAAATTAACAAAAAAAGGATTAAGAAATTCAGATTAATATTTGTAAAAAACTTAAATATTTTCACGTAACCGAGAGAAGTTCAGGTTGATAAACTATCAGAAGTTCACGTTCTACACAGTGTGCATTTTGTATTAAAAAAGAATAAAAATGCAAAGGCTAAATTTGTTGTCGTTATAAGTTCAAGTACTCCGTCGGAGAAAGTTAAAAAAATTATTGAGAGAGGTTTGTACAACAAGAATATTATTTGTGTAACACTGACAAATGGATGAGAAAATTACAAACGAAAATACGTCACAGAAGTTCAACGTGAACACAACATGTAGTTCAACTACTACGCTGAGTGAATTTCAGATGAAAAACTTTTAAAATCGTCGCGAGTATGAAAAAACAATCAACACGGGAAAGTTATGTGTTTACAGCAGCTTTCCACTAGTATATCACTTGTTTAATTCCGATGAGTGGATGGAGAGTTACAAGCAGTGGTTGGAGACCTACGAGCAGAAAAATCACGTGAAAAACAAAGTGAAGTTCAGGTACACACGCCGAGAAGTTCAGGTTCTTCACATGGTGCATTTTCGAAGAATCTGTTTCGCGATAAAGGCAGAACGCGTGGTCCGGCCGTTTTCGAAATTACTTGAAAACGGCTAGGAATCAGAGAAAATCATTAACATGAAAAAGTTTCGCATTTTCCGTAGCTTTTCAGCGGTATATTATTTGCCCCATTCCGATAAAGTTTGTAGAAATTACGGTGAAAATACATTTTTCACCATTTTTGAAACTGACTTAAAACCGTAAAGAATTGGGAGAAACAATATATAAGAAAAAGTTTCGCATTTCCCCAAGCTTTCCAACGCCATATCATTTACTGCATTCGGACGCGTGATTAAAGAATTAGCTCGAAAATACGAACTCGGTAGGACTTGGACCATTTTCTAAATTACTCTTAAACCATTCAAAATTAGAAAAAACTCTCAATATGAAAAAGTAGCGCATTTTCATAAGCTTTCCAACGCCGTATCATATGTCTCCATTGGGTTAGCCATTTAGAAATGACATCGAAAAAATAAACTCAGTTGTTCGGTTTATGAAATTTTACATTTTTTCAAATTACTCTTTAACCATAGGGAATTAGAGAAAACTTTCAACATGTGGAAGGAGCGGTTTTGCAGCAGCTTTCCAACGCCATATTATATGCCTCATTCCGATAAACGGTTTAGAAATACGATCGAAAATACGATTCATGTTTTTTGTGCAAAGAAAAACGGTTTTTAAAACTGCTCTTAAACCGCTTATATTTTGCCAAAAATTTAACTTGGGTCATGATATTGGTGCCCAACGGTATATCGCAAGCCCATTTAAGCAATGTTGGCGGAAGTTCAACCAAGTTCACATGAAAGCTCAACATACTTCTAATGGGGCAGGTCAGGTTGTGATCAAAATATTATTCTGATCTCGTGATCAGAATAGTGTTTATATATATATATATATATATATATATATATATATATATATATACTCCTGGGAGTACGTACTCCCGCTTCTCATATACCACATAGATGAATCTTTTATACCACTTTATTATTTTCAATATACTTCATTAGTAATTATTAGATACCGCGGTCTCATAAAAGACCCATCAACATACAAGTACCTAATCCAGGTCGCTTAGACAGTGTACGAGCCAAACAAAAAGGACTAAACCAAATCAAGAATACCTATCCTTTAATAATAGGTATAGATATAGATATAAATATAGATATATACATAGATAAGAGCATTACGGAGCATGTATATAAGAGCATTACGGAGGAGTATGTATATACTACGCGAGAGATGATAGGTAGCACAAGACGAGAGCACAAAACCGGACGTCACAGGCGACGTCTCAGTTATATAGTACTCCCTCCATTCTACAATGTAGTGCTTCCTCTATCCACGTGCTTCAACTTTGATCGTAAATTTAACTAACAAGACCGATTGCGGCGGAAGCAAAAATTATATCAGTAAATTCGTATTCGAAAGAAGTTTTCAATTATATAATTTTTTCTCTCGTCGCACTTGGTCTCGTTGGTTAAATTTATGGTCAAAGTTGAACCTCGGGAAACGCGGGCGTACTATATTTTGGAATGGAGGGAATATATCTTGACACAATAAATCCATGCATGCATGCATGGGCGTGCATGCTTTCCAAGTTTCCATGGGGCTGAGCGGAAGTGATGAATCAATCATCAAACTGGACGTCGGAGCTGTACACGGCTTCGGGTTTCCAGTCGGCGGGGATGACCTGGTCGGCAACTAGCGACCTGCCGGACCCGTTGGTAACCCGCAACGAGAAGGGCCCCCGCAGCGGGCGGCGCGTGTCCATGCGCCAGATGGAGCCCCACGACTCCCTCATCGGCCTCCAGGCCCCCGTCGCCTTGCCGCCGTCCATGAGGTCCACTTGCGCGACGTCACCGTCGCCGTTCCCATACTCCACCAGGATCGCCAGGTAGTTAGGGTTCGACCTCTTCTCCACGTGGAACGTCACCGATAACCCTGGGTACTGGCACGACACCCTCTTGAACTGCATGTCGATGATGCCGGCGTGGCGGAGCTCTTCGTTGCGACCGTCCTTGGCCATGGCGTCGAAGGCAGTGCCGCTGAGGTCGAAGTGGTAGCGGGCGACAGGGTAGTAGCTCATGTCCGCGATGATCACCGTCTCGGGGACGGACGCCGGAGCACGCCGGGTGAGCCTTGCCCACGCACCTTATCTGCACGCAACGCAATGCATGCATCAGGCATCAGGCTAGAGCTGGACAAGCACTTTACTCTCCTGTCTATCAGTGTGAAGCAAAGCAACTAATAAGTGGAATGCCGGCTGACCTGGTAGCAGGAGCCGCACCCCTTGCCGTCCTTGAAGATCGGCTCGTTGCCGCACGACGTCATGGCGTTGAACGGCGGCAGGTTCACGTTCTTGAAGCCGCAGGCGCCACCATTGTCCAACGGCCCGGCGCCATCAGGAGCGCCGTACCAGGTGGCCCGGGCGTCCAGCCAGCCGCCGGCATCGACGTTGGTGCTGCCGGAGCCGGGGCTGGGGGTAGCGGGGACAGGTGTAGGTGTAATGGGGCGAGGGGTGTGGGGTAGCGGGGACAGGTGCAGGGGTGGGGGTAGGGCAGAATGTAGCAGGAAGAAACCAGGGGCAGCCGCAGCAGTCATCGGCGGCGAGCAGGCAGAGGAGAGCAACAGCGGTGGCGTAGGAGGAGGCCGCTGACATCTATCGCTTGTTGGTATTAAGTCACCTACTTCGATGGTTAATGGCTTAATGCCGTTCAATCTATATATAGGCCGGCAATTCAAGTGCCTCTTGTTCCTGCACTACTCGACATCAAAAGGAACGAGAAGCCGTACGTGATCGTGATGGGGTTCACATGTTGACGGAGGGAGTCACCCGCACTCTTGCCCGTGGTCACGAGATGCCAAAATATCAAACCATGGTAATGTGGCCGGCTTAAGCTAGCTACGGCGTGTGCATCAGAAGACGACCATGACATGTTAAAAACAATCAGACACAGGAATACCCGTGAAATGGTATGAGCACGGGTGTCGATCCACTGACATAATAACGACACATTGAAAGGTTATAAATATTTAGGAGAATAAAATTTGTTGGAACATCGATCGATCTGCACAATCTTCCTATTACGTACGTACAAGGTACAACCAACCACACACTTCTCTCCACGTCATAATCTGCCTCAGTACCCATGAATAATTTCTGGCTGTTCGGTTCAGTTCACGTTTCCCTTCCACTTCCCCTTCATTACTTAATTACCAATCAGTTCTATCTCCCCCTGCTTCGTCTTCTTAGTTGGGAGCCTAACAAATCTGCCATGACGCGATCACCCAGGCTTCCCAGTCCACGCCAAATTGGTGCTGCTACCACATGTAGCTATGCCAATAGCTGCTCGACTCCTTCAAATTGCAGGTTGACTGATTCAAGAGGGAGAAACGAGAAGGATATTGGGAGAGAAGGCCGTCCATGGAGATGGAGGAGTGTGGCGGCCGCAGTCTCCGCGGGAGGGAGAGAGAGGAGAGTGTATCCCTTTGGAAGTCATCTTTGCTTATGTAGCCAGACTCCTCGCCATCGAGGGCGACGGCGGAGCAGAGCAAGGACGCTCGGAGGTCGTCGAGGATCTGGGATTGTGGGTGGCTGGCAACAGAACGATGGCTCGGCCCGCGTCCCACACTAAGGAAGAAGTTGGAGGCAAGGCAGACAGGCGGGCGTGCCGGATCTGGCTGAGAGCAACCACGCGCATAGATTGATTGATCTATTTCTTCCTCGACGGCGCGTTGCTGCGGGAACTGGTTGCCATATATTCAGATGGTGTTTGGTTCTAAGGAATATGTACATTGGATCGGATTAATAAAATGATAATTGAAACTGAAAATAATATAATTTACTTGGAATATCCATTACATATAATTAGGTAGCATAACATAATGCATGGTGAGTGTTTATCCATGCATGGATCTGCTAAACTCATTTTAGAAAAACCAAAGCCAATAGTTGGCTTAACATAGTAAAGTGTAAGGCTGAATTGAGAGATCATCTCGCATAATTGTTTTATAGTAATATTGCACTTATTTTTTTTCACAGTATTATTCCGTGGAGGCTTGTATTGGCAGGTAGCATTCTCCATGGAATTAATAGCTTGCATGGACTCTGAAGATAAAATGCAATCCTGGGAATTCATGCATGATGAAAAAGCTTATCCGCTAATTTGATTAATCACCTCGTTCTACTTAGTCGCAGTTGTCCAATTGTTTGTATAAATTTGATGTTTCTTGTTCTCTTTATAGATCTGCACCAATCATGTAAGGTCTGGCTTCCCTTGGTCAGCTGTCAGTTTGCCTATTTTACTTGGATGCTATTGATAACTTTATCATAGTTTGGAAAATATTAAAGGATAAATCATTGCTATATGAATTTTGAACATGTACTTACGACTGAAATGATTTTTGTGGAAAATACTCTTAATTTGTCAGAAACACATTATATTATTCATATTTAAGCCACCAACTTTTATGTCTTCTCTCAACTGTGGCAGTTCCGTGACTATCCTATGTATGACAATATATAACGAAAGGGGTGATAAGTGAACTATGTCTATTTGGAAAGTACAACAAAGTACATGAGAAATTTAAGCAACAAACCTGAATGTGACCGAAGCTTTGCACAGATAGAGATTATCCAGATTCAAGAGTACAGAAAATCTTCATCAGTCATATGTTACACGAGATACCGATTCAAGAGCAGAGAAGGTTGTCAACTTTCACTATTCTCTGAGGTCATATTGTGTTCCCTCAGGTCATACTGATTTGGGTAAAATATAAAAGAATACCTACAGTGCATGTATACCTGCAAGCATAAATGATCAAATCATGTTATTGCTATAATATCCAGATTGTAGTATAAAGATAATCACAAAGTGACTACATTAACCATAAGAAATCTTGAACAGACTATCTCATCATACAATGATACAATAGACAGTGTTAAATTGGCAGAAGAATAAAACAGTAAAACTGCCAACTGTCGAAAATAAGTGCATACATCTATGGGGTATAATTGCCGACTATCAAAAGGATGAACAAAAATCAAGAGTCAGGTAGATCAGACCATTCTGATGAACGACAGTAAGGGAAGGGGATGCAATTAGAATGCAACAATGAGGCTTAGAAAGCTCAAACACAGGAAGAAACATCAGCCCTTACATCCGTGGGGGGAGGGGAGGACCAGGCCATCTTCAACACCATCTCAGGACTGCACGCACTACACACGAAGGGGACGCAGTCACGCAGCCCGCAAGATTCCCATCGTGCCGGGGAGGCAAGCTGGACTGGCCGTCGTGCCGGAGGAGCGCTGACGGAGGGCTTTGATTGGTGGCGCTGTACTGTATACATGGATACGATTTCTGGAGGGCTTTGATGGGTGGCGAGAGGACTCCATTGGTTTTGCTCTTTTAAGGGGGAGAGAAAGGTGTCGATCAGTTTCTTCGTTTATTGCTGAAAACGGAAGGGATTAATTAGTACGCCGGTAACTGAAGGCACTACCTAGCATTATGCATCGATCGGTTGCTTCGTTTACTGCTGGAAACAGAACCATGCAAAGAAAATTACTGCTGGAAACGGAAGGGCTTAATCTACACGCCGGTAACTGAAGGCACTACCTAGCAAAAATTGCTGATGTGGCACTTCTGCTGATGTGGACAGCCTGCATGTATAGACAAATATGGTAGTGGGGTGAACTTCTTAAGTATATAGAATTAGTAGAACGGTAGTTACAAATCATGATTAGCTGAAGATCACACGGCAAATTAGTTTTTCCTTTCTAGAGCGGTTTTTTCATAAAGAAAGTGGAAAATTTTCGACAAAACCTACTCCCTCCGTCCCATAATATAAGAGCGTTTTTGACACAAAAACGATCTTATGTTATGAGACGGATGGAGTATATTACCTTACGAGAAAAGTATATTTTTGGTCCCTCAAATTCCCCAAAAATATAGACTTGGTACCTTAAGATTTTTTGGTAGACATTTGGTCCTTCAAATCTCAAAACCGGATAAGTTTGGTCCAAAACCAGATTTGACCACACTGACCGGGTTTGACCATGTTGACCGATGAACAGTAAATTCGAAAAAATAGTAAAAAAATGAAAAAATTGATTTTTTTGGCACGCACCTTGAGCACTTGAGCATATTACATGCCAAAAAAATTCAGCTTATTTTGAACTGTTTTGCTATTATTTTGAATTTACTGTTCATCGGTCAGATCTGGTCAACATATTCAAATCCGGAAAACATGGTCAAAATCTGGTTTTGGACCAAACTTATCTGGTTTTGAGACTTGAAGGACCGAATGTATACAGACCAAGTCTATACTTTTGGAGAACTTGAGGGACCAAAAACATACTTTTCTCTTACTTTACTTGAACAACAGCAGACAATGTCATGCTGGATACTACGGTTTACAAAAGCCGGCACATCCTGTTTAGGATAATAGATGATTCCCCTCACACAATGCTTTACCAAAAAGGCTTTCGCCCCATTTTATATATTAATCAAACCACCAAGCCAAGGCCCAACAAAAGTTTGCATTTAACACAGACACGCAACACCGCCGCACACATGGTAGTACAACACAAGGTACGAAAAGGTTAGGTTGAGGGCACAACTTAAAAGCCCAAAAATAAAAGAGGAAACACAGGCAGCGGAACAACAGACGAAGAATCTTGGGTTAGAATGAGATTTTGACTATATGAACCATAAATATTTGGGTTAGGGTGCACGTCCAGCCCAGTTCTCCTTTTTTCTGTCTCTTGTGGTTGTTTGGGGGTGCACGTCCAGCCCGGTTCTCATTTTTTCTATCTCTTGTGGTTGTTTGGGCTCTTTTTTGTTCGCAGAGTAGGGGTTTGCGCTATGGGATTGTGAGGTGTGGGGGCCTTTTTTTTTTGTTATGGGGCCTCTTCGCTAGGCAGATCAGTGTCTTTCCTCTAACTCATTTCTTTTTTTATTTCAATTTTGTTTTATTGTGGTGCAGTGACGGATGCTGGTTGTGCACTTGGCCCTGATGTTATGTTTTAGACGAGACAAAAATACTTCATCCATTTATTTTCCTGTGTTTTATGTTTTTCTTATTCTT